TCACAGCATATGAAGAAGGCAATTGCCACTGCCATTCTCAGGACTGAAAAGTTAGGTTATCAACAATCTTGGGAGTGGGCTTTGGAATCAAATGGCTAACTTAGAATTTTCATCCCATCCCTTACTGGCTGACTAACTTTAGGCAAGACACAACCTTTCCGCACAGCAAGAAACGCTACTTATAGGGTACTTATGAAAATTGTCAGAGAAAGCATATGCAAAATGTTTAGTGCAGGCCTTACAAAAGGAGGTCTGATACATACTTTTTAAAACACTCTTTGATGTTACTGATATAAACATATTATGGCCTATCCACCTTTGAAGAAAACCTGAAAGGCCTTTATCCATTCATGGCAGTCTTCTTATTTCTTCTTTTCATCCTCTCAGACAACCTTGCTTTATAGTCCATGTTGTTCTTAAACTTACTGTGTAACCCAAGCCTCAAACGAGATCTTCCTGTCTCAGCCTCCCAAGAGCTGGGATTACAGGTGTATGCTGCCATGCATGGCTATGAACAGTCTTTTCAACCCAATGACTTTATTTACAAAGCATATGTCCTTTCTGGGACACTGAAACACATTTGGAAAGTGCCTTCTTCTAAGATCCTTGGTCTAAGACACAGCTTACAGACCCCTCACTGTCCTTGCCCTTCATTCTGAAGCAACTCCTTTCTTCTCCTTATCTTTGAAAGCTCCGGCAGTCCTGTGACTGCAGACCTTCATGCCTGTGCCCATCTGCTCTGTCAGCCCAGAATGCTGCTCTTCCATTATTTATTAATTCTAGTTAACATTTGCTGAGTGCCTCTTATGTTAACAGGCACTGTTCTTGGAGCTTTAGAATTCAAATCCGCCACCAACCTCATGAGGGCAGATAAGACTACCCAAGACAGGTTTGGTAAAGTGTCTGTGGTCACAGAGCTAAAAGCAGCATGGGCGGATATGAGCCAGACGGTCTAGTTACAGTGTGTCACAACTTTTCTCGCTTCTGAATCCATTTTACACAGTGCACCTGTCCTGATTAAACACACCAGCAGAAGTCAAAACAAGGATCTTTAAAAAATGCTTTCCTTTGTTTCAGGCCAACTTCTTCACAGGTAGCTATTGGTTCTTCTTTGGGATAGCTACTCTGAAACAAAAAACCTTTGTATAAAATATGTTTTAACGATTTCCATTTTGTAAATGAATTTTAACAGTCCAGTGATTTCCAACTACTGTTTGCCTTTACCATTTATAAGTGCTGTTAAGAGCTTTCACACACTGATTCTGGTTTATAGAAGTGTCTTACAAATTCTCTGAGAGAGAGATGCCGAGGCCCACAGTGGTCACACAACTATATTAAGATTGCTCATGATTAGAGATGGAGTGATCACTTGAGCACAGATTTTAAAACTTCATCCTCCAGCCCTCACAACTTCTCTTTCCTTTTTCTTTCTTTCTTTCTTTTTTTTTTACCCCCTGGTACTGGGGATTGAACTCAGGTCCTTGAATTTGTGAGGCAGGCGGTAGAACCACTGAGCTAAATCCCCAGCCTTCAATCTCTCTTTACTAATGTGAGGAAGTTGGACCTCATCACAGAAACAAAGCAAAACTAACCTGCAATCACGATATACTGCTGAATATTGTATAGCAGTTAAGAGGAATTAGTGAATTTACAAGTATAATAATATGCAATAAATATGGAATAACTATAATACACTGTTAAAATGTTAAGAGGAAAATGGAGAGTAGTTTGCTATATGTTTTTTAAAGTGAGCTACAAATATGACTGTGGGCATATCCAATTGCATATACACAATTATTCACAGATACACATAGAATATGTTCATATGTGCACTGATTATCGCTGGAATGAAATCAAAGGAACTGGCAAGAATTCTTTTCTCTGGGAGGAGAAACAGAGCATGGAAGGGGGTTGGCTTCCACTAAACATGCATTATCTGAGTAAAAATACTGTTGACATGTCTAAGTGTTACATATCCAAAATATTTACCGGGAGGCTAATTTTTAAAAAGGAGTCTTTAAGAGTGAAAGAAAATGACAGAGAGTAAGGGAGTGACTGTGCATTTCTATCAGGTAAAAAATTCAGCCAAGTCCTAACGGGGTGTGTTGTTATAACTCTCCCTTTGGCAGGCCATGGTGTACTGCAAGTGGTTTGAGACTTCAAGTGTCAGGAAGTTTTATAGTAAGAGATGTTCTCACTAACCTTTGTGTGTATGAACTTGCCCTTAGTTCTTGTGTGCTTTTTCTTAGAAAGTCACATATACTCAATTAGAAACTCTCAAAAGCATAAGTCTATAACATGAAGAAGGAAAATGAATTACTCAGGTAATTATTGTCAACCAAAGATAACCACAACAGATATTTTTCTTCCAATTTTTTCTTCTATACTTTTTATTTTCTTGTTTTGCTTTCACATAGTTAAGAGTAGTCTATATGTGCTACTTTTTAGTTTTGTAATTCTTTCTCTTTAACATCACATCAAAATTACTTTTTCTCATTATCAAACAACTTTTACTGACTAACATTCTACATCTACTGAGACAATTTTTTCCTTTTTAATCTGGATTGTGACAAATTAGATAGACTGGGTTTTTCTAATGTTAAACCAATTCTGTACTCCTAGAATAAATCCAACTTGGTGGTGTATTCTCTTAATAAAATGCTGCACTTTGTTATTATTGTGTTTGGGGTTTTCAAATCTGTGTCTGTAAGACAGGTATGAAAACTTCTGTCTTGTGTGGTCTTTACTGGGGTTTGGCATCATGATTATGACAGCATCTTTAAACGAACTGCAGAGGATAAGCTTTTTCTAGTCTTAAAACAACTGATATGAGGTTGGAGTTATTTATTCCCTCACTAGAGTTAGCTGTGAAGTCATGTGGAATTGGATTTTCTTTGTGCTAAGGTTTTTAGTTACTAATTCATCTTTTCAAAATAATTATGGGAACATTCAGGTTTTCAATTTCTTTTAGTGTCAATTTTTGATAAGCTGTCTTTTCCTAGGAATTTATTTTCATCTGCATTTTCAAAATTTTTGAAATGGAGTTTTCAAATTAATCCTCTGCTATGTGTTTGATGATTGTAGTGGGTGTAGTGGCACATGCAGCTACTCAAGGCAGAAGGCAGGAGGGTCACAAGTTCAAAGCTAGCCTGAACAATTTAGCCAGCTCTGTCTCAAAATAAAACATAAAAAGGATATTTTAGATATAAAAGGACATAGCTCAGTGTGAGGTCCTAGATTCAACTCTTGGTATTGCAACCCCCCCGAAATGTACATATATGCGTACATACACACACCAAAAACCTATCATTTTACATAAATATTTGCTGCATTTTCAATATTTTCTCCTCAAGACAGACTTCCAAAAGCAGAAATATGGGGTAAAACATTTTAAAGTCTCTTGATACTCCCAGCTAAGCTGTGCTATGTTACCAGTGTGTGAACATGGCTACTTCCTTGTACCTATTCTCCCCATATATGAGAGTTCTTTTTGAAAGAGTTGGCTTTTTCAATAGGTGGAAAGAATTACATTTTGTTTTAAAATGTTGACATACAGATTGTTGATAAGGATAAACATGTTAACAAATGTTTTCTATTTATTTAGATTTCTGGGGACCGTTTGAGAATCAGTGACTTTTATTTCTGTGTATTTACCTAAGATTCTTACAGCACAGTTGGACATTATGACCAACCTGCCTTTGAGAATCTGTTGCCAGATGCCAAGAACCCATTTTCCCTTCCTGATAAGTGGGGAGCATGCTGCTCCAGAAGAGGCCACCAGGATCCCTGGTCAAAGAGCAGCACTCGGGTCCGACTCGGCGGTTTGGTGGCATGAATGAAGATGTGCTGTTCATTTACTCAAGGACCTGTATTTACTGACCTCTTGCAGTACCTGCTCTTTTTGTTTTTTTCTGGTACTGGAGATCGAATTTGGGACCTTGCGCTTGAGATGCAGGTGGCAGAACCACTGAGCTAAATCCCCAACAGTATGTGCTCTTTATGGGGCTACTGAGCTAACGAAGGGCAAGTTGGTGTGTGTCAGGAGCATCCTTACTGACCTGACAATACAATGTGCAGAGAGACACTAATCAGTCCTTGAGAAAAACACACAATTAGAAACAAGCACATGCAATGAAGAAGTATATGCTTTACAGCCGGTCATGGAAGGCCCAAATGAGGAATGATCAGACTTAGGTAACAGGGACAGGGAGCTGTGACATTTAAACTGGGGAAGGATGAGAGTTAGGCAGAACTCGAAGAGTGTCTCAGGTGAAAGCATCAGCTTGTGTGACAGCCCTGGGGCAGGAGTGACCAGGTCAGCCTGTCGCCACAACTGCAGTTTTCACACATCACTTGCCCCTGAAGTCAGTGGGGACACAGAGGAGAGGGGCAACAAAAATACACAACTTGGAAGTTCTGAGAGAGAATGCAAGAAACTAACTGAAGTTTTTAAAAAAAGTTCTTTTCTTCTTCTTTTTTTATTTTCCTTCAGGGCCAGGGATTGAACTCAGGACCTTGTTCTTGAGAGGCAGGCGCAATGCCATCCCTCGCTTAAAAAAAGTTCTCAGCACAGCACTAGGAATTACAACTTTCCCTTTTGCTAAGAATATTCAAACAGTTAAAATTTTCTAAAACTTGACATCTAAATAGTGATACTAAGAGGACTAGCTGCTTTACATACAAAATAGCTTTTGCCTCAGAAAAGGCCTGATGTTTCTAAGCTGTTCCGAGGGCTGTTCCCAACTTAGGAAGACAGAGTTCAGGTTCAGCAGACAAATATTAATCACAGAGGGCTAAACAGGATGCAGGCTCTGCCAAACGGCACAGAATCTATCATTTCACTTTGGGATACATTTCTGGCACGAAGGCTGCAGTCTGCCTTGGAAAACAGTCACTTCCAATCTGCCTAGGAAGCCAGGCCAGTGAGTGTTCCCAAACACATGACCCCTAGACACGTTTGCAACGGACAAAGTGGGCACGGAGCGAGGCGGCCAACATACTGTTCTCGCGGACCAGGCAGAACTCCCACGCGCTCTGGCTCTCCAGGGTGCTCTCCAGGTCGACAGCAACATTGGGCTCGCTCTGTTTCTCCAGGCGGTACTGGGGGCCTGGAAGATCAAAGAGGCAGGAGGAGGGGAGGAAGTCTGAAAGAGTGAATTTAACATTAAGAAATTACCACATATTGGTGAAAGCTGGGAAAGCTGAAGGAAAATGCTAGTCTGTTTTGAGGGTCTAGCCAACCCAGACAGGAGGGTTTGGGATTTTTTCCCCCCACAAGGTTGCCCATGCTCATCTGTTCCCACTCAGTTTTCCTGCAGGTCAGCTGAGAGGTAAGGAGCTCTTTGATCCGACTGACCTGGAGTCACACATGGCTTTTCCGTTTCTCAGGTATGAGCAGGTAACCTATCCTTCTATGAACTTGTTTCCTAGTGTGTATTGTGGGAATCCGCATTAATCTTGAAGGATTATTGTGAAGATCAGAGATGATACAGGAAAAACACTTGGGAGTATACCTGCCAATAGGAGGCACTGCTCCAATGGTACTATTATTAATTATCATTATAATCAATTATGGTCAGGAGTTTAATGTTTAGAACTCTAATATCATGACAGTTAAAAAATTCAGACAATTTAAAAAAGTCGTGAAAGTTAAAAAAACAAATTTCAGTTTTCCAGGTCATGGTGACAGAAAGACAGTCAAGTTTTTGTCAAAACATTAATGAAAACACAAGAGACAAAGGTTCAGTAATCTTAGAGGTGGGGAATTCCAGCTATCCTGCATCACACAGAGGATTCTGGCACATCTTAATGAAACACTGGGGCACTTTATACATTTATTCATGTATTTCTTCGTAACCAAAATGACAGTGTTGTTGCTCTCAGGGAACGCCTAACAGATCCAATGATCAGAATCAACGACTACGCCTGTGATTTGTTAAGGCTAACTAAAAAGATGAGAGGCACAGGAAACTGTCCGGAAGGTGTGTTTGGTCAGACAGAAGGAGGCTGAGTGATCCGAGGAAAGTGGCAGAGGCTGGGATGGGCTCACAGGTGGAGCATGTATTTTTTTTTCATACATTCCTCAGCTGTTGTCAACTTGTTGATTGTTCATATGCAGTACTTCTTCATTAATCATTCCCAGGAGTTTTCCTCTTGCATGTTATATGTTCCTTGATAGCATTGTAGAGATTCATTTAATTTTCACATTTTGTTTGATCCTTTCTCTAACTGGAATTTCATTAGTACTTCCACCAGAGTTCTTAATAGAGTTCTTCTTGGAACCGTTTGGACTATACCCTTTTGGACTATTTAAATAAACACATGTACAGAAGTCTACAGGTTCTTTTAGGCTCTCATACACTGTATTCAGATCAAGAAGGCACTGTGTTTCAACATCATACATAATAGGGTTCTAATTTCAAAGATGTGAAGTAAATAAAAGTATGGAGTGCAGGTGATTCTTACAGTCCCTGCTGTCACCCAGCAATGCTAACATCTGCCAACTGACAGGCGTGTTTGCCAATCATCGGATATGGGTACAGTCATTGATGGAAGCAGTCACAGAAAAATCACACGTAGCCAAACTTTTAGACAACCTAGCTGTGTTCAAGCCATTACTTGGAGATCTGCTTTCTAAGACACTGGTCTGGAAGACCATCTCATGGCTAGGCCCGCAGTCCCAGCACCTTCTAGCAGCACAGTATGTATAAGACACTGATATCACTTTTATGAATTTACAGTGAAGCATGAGTACAAAATTTGTTATAATACAGCCGACCCATCATATCCACATCTGTGGATGCAACCAACTGTGGACTGAAACTGTTCAGGAAAAAAAAATTACACCCATACTGAATATGTACAGATTATTTTCATTGTTTCCTAAACAATGCAGTATGACAGTTATTTACACAGCATTTACACAGTATTAGGCATTGTAAGTAATCTAGAGATGATTTAAAGTACATGAGAGGATGCTCACAGGTTCAACACTAATCGTACACCATTTTATGCAAGAGACTTGAGCATCTACAGATTTTGGTATCTGTGAGTGCGGGGGGTCTGGAACCGTTCTCCACAGATACCAAAGGATGCCTGTAATTCATTTAAAAAATAGTCAAAATTTGGGAACAACTTACATTTATCTAACAACACAGTGACTGCTGAAATATCACAAAGATACTAAGTGATCCTACACAAATATTTAATGTCATAAAACATGAAAACAGAAAAATACAGCACATTATTTGCAGAGTGATTACAACTTTAAAAGATATGTAAATGCATAGAAGATAAAAAGATTAGGTTATTTCTAAAATGTGAATAGTAGGAACATTATGAGTGCTTTTAGTTTTCCTTTGTTTTTTTCATATTTAAAAATTTCTTAAAAATAAAGGTTACCTTAGTAGTTTAAAAATATATCATATATCCTTAAAGTTCTCAAATTCATTACTATGTCATTTTGCTGAAAATATGTAATTATCACACACTGTGGCATCTCCAGTGGGTTTTTCACATGCAGTAATTTAATCAAACCCAGACAGGATCTGTTTATGCAGACAGGCATTTTCATCTCACATAACCTTGTGCCCTGGCATGGGCACTCAGAGCAGTGCACAGAGTGCTGGGCTTTCTGAGCTGTCAGCCCCCTGACAGCTGTATTCTATGTATTCCTGCCCTTTTCTGAGCACTGGAAGCCAAGGCCTGGCTGTATCAGAGGGAATTTCAGGCTCTTTCCTCTGCATATTTTTTCTTTCCAGTTTGTACAGCTGCCTGGGAAACATGATCCAGGAAGCTGGGGTGAGGGATGGGGGAATCAGGGAGTACTAGGAAGGGTCTCTACCCTGACAACGTGATTCCTAGACCTTCTCTCAAATCCTTAAATGCCACCATTTTGTTTGTTTTTTTGAGACAGGGTCTCACTATGTAGTTGAGACTGCCCTGGAACTCACTATGTAGCCCAGGCTGGTCTCGAACTCACAGTGATCCTCCTGCCTCAGCCTCCTGAGTGCTGGGATTACAGGTGTCCACCACGCCCGGCCAAATGCCACCATTTTGACACTCACCTTCTTGTTTTTAGGGGCCTGCATATATTTCTATTAAATCAGTCTGTTTCCTGAAAATATGTTTTAGGATTTTCTCCTCGAATCCTATGATGACTTTCAATTCTACTTATATGTTGTTATGTGCCAAGTATGCCGAATACTTACAAGTATGCTGAATTTTTACAGAAACGCTGAGATAGATATTATCATCCCCATTTCACAGACTTGGACTTTATGGAGTAACTTGCCCAAGATCACAAAAGTAAGAAGTAGGAAGGGAAAAAAACCCAAGGATCTTTGGGCTCTTTAGAGTTTTAGCTTGTGTGCTTTGAATGTTTCTTCTGCAAACTATAAATTACTGGCCAATTACAGAGAGGCCATGTTTATAAGGATTTTTGTAGATTCACTTAACTTATGGTTTCTATAGATTCAGAATGAAAATGATCTTCAATAATTTATTTTAATGAAATACACACATACACCAAAAACCCCACGTATTCTGGATCCATGATAGTACAAAACCCCCTATGAAAATATGATCTCTGAATCTTTCCACCCACCCAGGAAGACCCTCCCACCTTTCCTTATAGATATTCCTGTCCATGCCTACTTTTGTCAGTAACTGAAATTATGAATGCTGCTTTCTGCTCTGTGTACTCCCTGGTCTTCCATACGAGTAAAGAACAACTTGAAAAAATCCACTTCTGAACTCACTAAAGGACCAAGTCGTCTTTACTTTAGAGAAAGTGGGGTGGTTGAGCCAAGGATGTGACTCAAGATGTAAGCCAAAACGGAAAAGTGCTTCTTACAAATCCACACTGCTCTCCTTAATTCTTGCCTGACTACTACTAGCTAGGAGATCTCTCAGAGAAAGACTGCTTCATATATTTTCCCCAGAAAAAGGCCAGACTGATCACATCAGGCCATATGTGTAATGAGAGGACACTGGATACCTAGTGTGAGCCTGTGTGCTTTGGTCTAAATCCTGGCTGAGCAGTTGAGCTCCGACTTTGGGCCAACTTATTTAACCTCTATCAGTTTCTTCATCTATAAATTGGAGTAATGATAGCACTACCTAAGAGAAATGTCAGAGGAGCCACTGAGCTAAGAGTTGTAAAGCAGGGTCTGACACACTGAGTGTGTTAAGTGTCAGCCATCAGCATCCTCATCGTGCCACGGAAGCAGCATCGAGAGATCATAATCCCACCACCAAAGAACCTACTAGGTGGCTAAGGATCACCTCATTAATCTTCAGTCACTGTAGGATATAAAGAATATGAATCTTATTTGACAGAGGAAGAAACTGATTATAGGGGCTAAATAACTTCCCCAATGTCTTTTAGGAACTAGAATTCCCAGGGCAACTAGGATGCCTAGGCTTATTTTCTCTATGCTACAGTATGAACCACAGCACCTCACAAATACCAAATTCATAATCCTGTCTGTGGATGATAATCAAGGTTCTGATTACCTGGACCCACAATATATTTCAAACTACAGGCTCCATCAACTGCTTGTTTAATCTTTAGGAAGCTGACATAGAAGGAAGAAAACAACAGCAGCCAAAAGTCATTTCAAAAAGACAAGCTGTGAGGTCAGTTTCTATGAATATACTTTCACAAAAGAAATGATTATATAAAATATAAAAGGCTCTTTCACACTGAACAGGACACAGTTCTCAAGGCAACAGCCACCCTTTAGAAAAGGTTTTAAAATGTCACAGCTGCACACAAAGCCACAGGCCCTCTTCTTCACAGCAGAGGGGAACACGAAAGGAAGATTCTGGGAAGCAGGTAGTTATTCTGTAGTGGCGAGGAAACGTGCTTGGGCAATCCCACGATGTATTTACTGCAGTAATGCCATGTCACCCAATGGCCCAGGAACAAAATACTGCTCTGGGCACTTTGGGAGGCTTCCAAGTTATAGCACCCAGCCAAGATTTTTACAGAATTTTGTAAACCCGAGGCAAACATCTCAGCACATAAGTTTCAAAGAAAATCTGTAGAATCTGTTGGGTGGTGGATAAATGTTCAGTGAGGCTTCCTTGATCCCTTTAACCCCTGACTGAAACATAAAAGAATTTAGCCCAATTCCTTAAC